AAACTCAGGCTATTAAAAAAATAAACATGAAGTCCTCGGGTCTCTGGGGTCCATTTATCTTTGGTTTTCCCATTACGGCGCGCCATGACTGGCCTGGCATGGAGCCTGGCTATCAACAATGGGTAACCAGTAGACACCCACAACTATGTGGCTTCCTTCTCTGCGGGGAAAATGTAAAATGTGCTGCTGACAATTTGGTCATACCACGGCCATTAGACGTGTTGAACTGTGAATGTGGGTTCGCCATGGTGACTATAGAGCCCCGAGGGGGAGCTCTGATGTACCGTTAGTAAAATATCCCATGAACCACTGAACGGAAAGTAATCACCGAATGAACAACTCTTTTTGTAACTCTCTGTGTACTTGGGTGGAGAGAAGTGAGTGGGGGTTTGGGACATTTTAGGACAATTAAAAATAAACTTTAATGGGTGGGAGCTCAGGTTTTGCCCACGCCTTTGTGTCAGCACGGTGGACCAAACCAGTTGAATGAGAGCAGCCATGAGGGTCAGAAACACCTGCGATGTGGATTAAATGAAGTTTGACGCTTCACTCAGTTTCACTCCACGACACACGGAGGTGTTGAAACGTTTCGTAGACATATTATGACATCCGAGGACTTATGACACGCTGTTTTTGCTTATTTTTCCAAAGTTAGATTGAGTGTGATGTGAACTTTTTTCTGTCTTTTTTTTTTAAATGGGGGTTAGAGCCCACATTTGCTTAGTTTAGCACAGCTGAGAAGCATGGAAATAATTTCAAAAAGCCTATTTCTGCACAAACGTGCCAGAAAAGTAGTGTCACACGTGCACCGCAGCCCTGACATTTTCTACACGTTTTCTCGTGGGGCTGTTTGAGAGAAAGCAAACGTCTGCAGCGAACAAACCAGACTTTGTGTGACGTTCCAGTTCCAGTTGGCCAATATTAGAAGCAGGAATTGCAAAAACTCTGCTGCTCGTCTCTTGCTAACACCGCAGATGCAAACAACGCAGGAACAATCTCCATGATGCACAAGTTTAGTCAACCATGTAACGAAACACAATGTGCATTTGCATGTTTCCTGCTCTCTGCTGCAGCTGGGCTGCAAAATGTTTCCAAATGTGAGAATACGTCTCTTGAATTACTGTCCTGCAGTCTGCAGCGTGTGTGAAACGTCCGGACAACATATGAGACTCATTTCTACCAAAAAAGACTCAATCTGCTTTCCAGCACCCTGAAAGATCCATAATCAAAATTTTGTAGCGTACATGTTTGTTGATTTGCAACACGTGGTCATTTACCATACTTTCTGCCGTACATGTAGCACCACTGTATAAGTCGCATCAGTCCAAATATGTCTAATAAAGTGGAAAAAAAACATAAATATGTCGCTTCGCCACATAAGTCGCATCTATTATGCGTCACCGCTGATAACCCGGAAATGTGGACCAGTGTTGTGCCAAAAATTGATTGGCTGCCAAATGGTGGCTGCGGGAGCATGCATGGGAGGACTTTAACAGTTAAAAACAATTATTTGTTTGCTCAAAATTATATTAAAGTTGTGTCTCAGTTTAACTTTTCCTTAATAGATGCACTTTAATGGTCAAATCAGCTGCATTTCTCCGGGACGGCGCGGCGAAATGCAGCTGATTTGACGTTTGCTCCAGGAGTTCTGGAGTGAGACGAAGGTGGTTCAGTATGGCAAGCCAAGTGTCTCATTAATAGCCACTTTTACCTATTAATGAGACACTTGGCTTGCCATATTAGTCGACCACCTTCTAGTGGCTGAAAATGGTAGTGTTCAATATTTTACATGTCAGAATGAATGAAATTGTCAGATCGCAGCCAAAAATTGAATTATAAATATGGAAAAAAACATAAATAAGTCACTTCGGTGTATAAGTCGCCGAACTTGCAAAAAAGGTGCAACTTATAGAGTGAAAAATACAGTCATTAAAAAATGGACTTTATTAAAAATGGCTGCTGTTTTTACAGTTTGTACTTTTATACAGACACCTTTTATATGACAAATTGTTTTTCGGTTGTGTTTTAGGAGGTAGAAAGAGGTTTTTGTAATAAGGATTATTCTTTTCCTTAAGGTTTGTTGCTCCAGCTCATGTTTTGCTACTTTCAGTGGTTGTTGTTCTTTTTTTTCCATTTTAGCTTTTAGCTCTATTGTTTCTTTTAGCTTTGATAGTTAGGTTCCAGCTTCTTCGACACATTTCAGCAAAGTCACTCACCACTCATGGTTCACACTGGATTGTTGCAGAAAAGTTAACGTTTTATCTTAAGACGCTTTACACTGAATAAGGTCAACAAACCAAAGTCATCAGAAGCCATCCAACCATTCATTTATACAAACATTCAGCCATCCATCCAGTTTCTGCACATATCCATGGTCAGGACCTGGAGGCAGCAGGTCCAGGTGGGAAACCAAGACCTCCTCTGTCCCCAGTGACACTCTCCAGCTCCTCTTGGGTAATCCCAAGGTGTTCCCAGGCCAGATGAGCTATTTAATCTTTACAGTGTGGGAGGCGTCCAGGAAGAATCCTAATCAGATTTTTGAACCCCTGTAGCTGACTCCTTCTGATGCAGAGGAGCAGTGGCATAGTCCAAGCTTCTCCAGATGATGGAGCACCTCATCTTCTCTCTAAGGCTGAGACGAACCACCATATGAGTGAAGCTCATTCCAGCTTCTTGAAGCATAAGTCATCTCTTTTAATTTGCTTTTTGGTGTAAATTACTTTTGTTTAAATATATTCTGGGGGAAATGGGGGCAGATATCATAAGATTTATTCTTCTTCTGCTGCCTTTCATTTTATTTTTGATTGTATACATATTTTTTTTTAATGAAATGAATACATTTTTTAATAAAAAAATAATAAAAAAGTCCAAGATCATCTTATTTGAGTCATGATCCACACCTTGTGATTATAGCTGAAGTTTGGATTGGACTAAGCCTCCTCTTCACCAAGACAAACCGAAGCAGCATCCTCATTACTTCAAATAAGGTCCAGATCCATCAATCTGACTCCATCGTCACAAGGGAACAAGACGCCAAGTTGTTTTAATTTCTCTGCCTGAGACAGACTCTTCTCCAACCTGAAGGGAGCGTTCCACCATCATCATGTGGTTTACACCCCAGGCCTCAGACGAGCTGATTTTAAACTCGACTGAGAAACCGACCCGGCGCACCCTGAAGGTCAAGGCCTAAAGATAGCAACATCATCTACAAAAACCAGAGAGGAGACCCTGAGGGTCCCAAACCAGACACCTTCCTCTCCATCTTGATGAGCACCACAAACAGGAGTCAAGTACTTAATATAATTTGGGTATCTTCAGCCTGCAGAGAGTTTGTTCATTGTTTGCCCAATTCAACAAATGATGACAACTTTTCAGAAATTCCTTGAAGAGAAAGAATTGGACTAAAATCCAGAAGTCACATATAATTTCTTGCATCTTCTATCTCAGACGGGAGGCATTTTCCAATAATATTTATTTTCCTTTAGACAGTTTTATTCCCTGCATGGGCAAAACTGAAGAACTAGTTTGCTCTGAGAATCTGGGTTAGTTTTGAACGTTCTAGGTGACGCCTCTGGATATTTCCGTGCTGTCACTTCTTCCTTCTCTCTTCTTGCTGTCTGGGGCAAAACTGATTAAAAAAAAAGTTCAATTAGAAACTTGGCTTCATTTGTTTCTGTGAACCAGGGACGATGAAGTGATGAGGATTTTCCAAAGAGCTGTCAATTCAGCAGGCCAGCAGGTACTTTGTGTTTTGTGAACCGACCCACACAAACACACAACTCTGTGGGAAAAGATGCGTGATTTATAAGCACATTACGCGCGGCTCAAACTTCCATGAGACGAGACATAATTTTAAAGCATCATTTACAATGATGAGGAGGCAAATCTGACTCATCTGTGAGCATCGCTTAAAAAACATCAGTCATCCTGACGTGCGCTGATGTTCCACCTGAGCATTCATTTGAACAGGTAATCGTGTGCTTCTTAACTCATCTGTTGACATCAACTTTTATTGATGTCTTGACAGATTTACACCGACAGTTTTAATTGGAGCTGTCAGTTTGTTTCACAAAAAAATCGACATTGGTGAGAAGGAAAACAAACTGCCTGCCAAGGTGGTGGACTCAACTACAACTCATTGGACCGTTTGCTAAAAAAAAAACTTTTCCTCTCACTGCCAGAGCTGAAAAAAATACCTAAATGTGTTTTGAATTCTATGCTTATTTAATTACTTTTGATGGGTTTACTTATTTGTTTTTAAGGATTGAAAATGAGTAAATAAAAAGAAGTTCACACCAGTTAAAGGAAACTCTGTAAAACTCCTTCAGAAATGCTCAAAAATATCTCTGCTTAGGCTGGTTTAAAAAGATTAACAGAACATCAGAGACCTTAAACAATACATATGAATAAATAAAAAATAAGAAAATAAGATTTATTATAATTACTATTCCTTATTTGTCTCTGTAAAACTCAATAGTGACTAAGTTGGTGTGTTAGCAGAATGATATTGAGTAGTTGGTGTTTGCTGTTGCATCCTATAGAACCTGACTGCAAGCAGTTAAATGCAGTGTGAATTATGTAAAAGTACTTAATTGTCACTATAAGTTATTTTGATTATTATTTCAAGACATTTTGTATGTGGTTTGGTTTAATCAAATTGATTTATTTTGACTTTTATACGTTACCTGTCTATAATACATGATTAGGTTCTCAATTTTTAAACAGAAATTGGCGAAAACGTTTGTTTTTCATGTTAATTTTATTTTTAAATTACTCGGTAAACTACAGCAAAAACACTTTGCGTTACATTTCCGTTCCAATAAAGTTTTCTTGAATTAGTTGAACTTCAAGCATAAGCGTAGCAAAGCGTTTGCGTCCTGCCGTAGATCTCAACAACAACCCGACTGCGTGCGCACCTCCAACTACAGAGCGCGCGTCCCATCCGGATAAGTTATACCTTTACACTACAGAACCAAAGGGGCGTGGCCGTTGGAAGTCAACTCTTTCACGCCAGCTGCGACGCTCTTCTTCACCGTACTGATTTGCACCACCATGGCTGCTGCACCGACTTGTCGACCTTTTTTATTCTGCTTTTTCTACATTTCGTTACTGTTTGCTGGTGTGTTTTGCGACGATGATGTAGATGAAGATGAGCATGCCAAGCACACATACACAGTAGAGATGTTTAACGAGGCGGTGCCCACTGCACCCCACTTTGTCATGTTTTACGCTCCGTGGTAAGTGGAAAAAAACTACTAATTTTTGAACGACATTAATTAAATCGACTGACAGCAACATCTAATTGTTTAAAGTAGACCTCATAAGCGCTAAAGACTGAAAAATCCTTCTTGTTACATGGTTAAAAGAGTTTACCGGCATGTTGGATAGTTAGCATCTAGGCTAGTTAGCTTCCTAGCTCATTGCTTCCATTCAAGCGGCTCCGTTAGCATAGCGGCTAACTAGCATAGCCGAGCAGCAGCTAATTAAGTTGAAACTAGGTTTTCTCGCTTTGACGATTATTAATGAAACTCTTCACGTGGTAGTTGTCTTATGTAGACACTAAAGCATGTTTATCATCGATGTTCTAAACCCTGGAAGAAGAATATTTAAAGTTACACATCGAGATGCTGCGCTTACGTGGCATGCACTGATTGACTGAAGCTACCAGCGGTTTCAAGGTGAGGTTCGCGGTCCCCCCAGAGGTCCTTGGTGTTGTCACGGCTCTTTATGTTGAACAACTTTAATATCAGTCATTTGATTTGTCTCACAACGGTGCTGTTAAATTGTCCGACCCTGAAGAGTCCTCAGCAGCTGACATGTCGCGGGGTAAAAATAATGGATGGTCTAATCCGAATTTTCTAATCATGATTAGTTCAGATTTTTTAAAGTAGGTGCAAAATATAAATGTTGCATTTTATTTATTTTTGCCATTAGGAAGATGAGCAGTTTGTTTAGAAACTTCTTTGATCTGTCGTTTAATTACTTTTAACAGTTAAAATTGCCTTTAGATATTAAAATGACACTTTACGCAGCTTCAGTAAAAATTAACAAAAAGGTTTGTCTCACCTGAAGTGGACGGCAGTCGGCACGCTGTCAGTTTAAAGCATCGGAGAGGATTTTGGACGTACAGAACGAACGCGCCGACGGTCAGAAAATAGAACGGAATCACAAAAAAACAATATTTCTCCAGGTCTATGGGTTTTGCGGAGAACTCTCAACTGAAACCACTGGAGTAACGCATTCTCTTACCGCTCGATGAATAAACATTGAATGGCCGTTCTCGTCAGTCTTATAATACGTTGGGTTTTGCATCATCTTTGCATCAGATAAACAGTAACAGGTAAGCTAACTTGGTGAGCGGTCCATATAACACAGTCTATGCAAACGAGTTCTGCAGAACGGACTGTTCACGTTGCCTACCCAAGACAAATTCAACGGTTTGTTAAAATAAAACAAATTTTGATGACGATGTGTTTAAGCTACTATGAGATTTTTCAGATCTGAGTTTAGGATTGCAAAGAATGGGTTGTTGTGGCTCTGAAGCCCCAAACTGTCACCTGCTTACTTTAGGTGACTGGTTCAAAGCATTTCACACAACACAATAATTTAAAAGCGGTTTCAACATTGTGATCCACAAATACATTTCCTTTTACCTCATTTCCATCACTAATTGTTCAGAATCCACTGATGGTCAGATTGGTGTTTCTGGTTTAGCTGGTTAAGTGGATTAGATGCGGTAGCTCAGTGGTCAGTGCCACGGTCTTGTAATCCTGAGGTTGTGGGTTTGAGCCCAAGTTGTATCAGGAAGGGCTCCTAGTCGGTCTTGAAAAGTATAGAATTTAGTTTGAATTTTTCCAGGCCTGGAAAAAAAAAAAACTTAAAAAAAATAGTTCTCAGTTTGTTATCCATGTTACATTTTCTAAAAGATTACATTCATATATTCTCAAAAGTGCTTATAGTAACGGAGCATTTTTGCACATAAAAGATGAATATGCTCATCTTGACGTCAGCTTTTGGTTCATCCATCACATCAAACTTTAAATTTAAGGTTTTAACCATCAGTCTTTTTGTTTTTGAGTTTAGTGCAGGCTCTTTCAGCTTTTTTTAGGTCGCCGTGTCTTTTACAATACAATTGTTTGACCTAATGTCCAGGTTTACAACCCATATCCCCTTTTGATGTTCATTTGTCTTTAGATAAGTTATTTGCAGGTATAATAATTTTAATGCTGTATGGCATCGCAAAGTAGCTCAGCCTCAAGAAAACTGGTAAAAAATGTGAGTAGCCTACGTAATTTGGAGATAGAATTTGTGTTAGAACCTTGTTTTGTACTAGCAAAGCTTAAAAAAAACACATAAATCTTTGCAACACTGGGGTTCTACAGACGGGATTCAATCGTGTCTTTCGGCTGTTCTGTCCAGGTGCGGCCATTGCCAGAGATTGCAGCCTGCCTGGAATGAACTGGCAGACAAATATAACGGCATGGACGACCCGCCGGTATACGTGGTAAAAGTAGACTGCGTCCAGGACACCAAGTTCTGCTCCAACGTGCACGGCGTTCGAGGCTACCCTACGTAAGTAATCAAACCTGCGGGGCAACGACTACTGCTTGTTTGGATACGAAACTGAAAGCTTGATTTATTTTATTTTTTCAAATGAGCATTTATTAGTGTAGCTCAAGTTGCCATTTTGCAGGAAGAAGCTTTCAGCACTTTGTAAATGCAGCACAAATCACTATTTGATTGTAACTTTTTATATTTTATACACAGCTAAAATTGGAGTTAAAAAAAGGTTCGGACTTGAGAGAAGTGGTACATTTCCTGCAGCGTTTGGAGTAAAACACTATACAACATGGAATAAACTTGTTTTCTGTAATGATTGACACAGGCAACATATTAACCCTCATTTAGTTAAATATTCTGTTACAGTCTTTTCTTGTTGCTGACTTTAGCTACAAACCGTAGTTTCTTTTCTCCTTTCTGTTCGTGATCCTGTGTGCAGACTAAAGTTGTTTAAGCCAGAACAAGAGGCAATTAAGTACCAGGGTCCCAGAGATCTGCAGTCTCTGGAGACATGGATGCTGAAGACACTCCAGGAGGAGCCTGCGGTGAGGGTCCTCCACCCACTGAGCAGCTCAGGTCTTCCATCATGATTTATAATGAGAGTGCTGCTCATGTTTGTTGTTGATGCCCTGCAGGAATCAGAGAGCGAACTGGAGCCTCCTAAAGCCCCGGAGCCCAAACAGGGCATGTATGAGCTCACTGCCCAGAACTTTAAGGAGCACGTATCCAAAGGTAAAACATGCACCAAGGTTCAGCTGCAATCCAAGTTAATGGATGACTCGGCTTTGCATCTTTTACAGGCGGCTAGTTTTGCTTTTGTTTCCCATTTGAATGTTGTTTCAGTTTTTCATTGCTTTCATTTGAATACCTCCCTCTGGTTGAAGAACCGTGCGCAGGTCCCAGGTTTTTGGGCTGTCGGGCGATGACGCAAAAAAAAAAAAAAAAACATCTGTCACGATAAGTCTCTGTGAAATGACAGTCCTTATGAAAAAAGGTTGACAGTGTATTTTACGAGTGTTTATAGGTCCCACCTTCATGTCTGGGCAACAGCAGCTTAATAAACCCGCTGTAATCTGCTGCATGCAGCAGTGGAAGTAGAGACATGTAAAAATAAAAGAATCTGAACTTTTAATTTTTTAATTATCCACAGTATTGTATCGTTTTCCTGTTTATTCACATTTTCTGTGTTTTCTCATTCAGGTGCTCATTTTATTAAGTTCTTTGCGCCGTGGTGTGGTCACTGCAAAGCCATGGCACCGACGTGGGAACAGCTCGCCACCACCTTCGAGCACGCTGACGACGTAAAGATTGGAAAGGTGGGCCCCTCAGATTGGGATGATTCTGCCAGATGATAATTCTGTTTACTGTAATCTGACGTCTGAGCAACAAACCAAACGGTAGTTGTTAGTTTTGGTCTTTAACACCGATTCAAGTTCTTTAGGGTTTACTAACGTGTTTGGTTGGGCAGGACGTGTCATGACTTCAGTAGCTTCAACTTTTCTCGTCGATTAGATTGTTAGATATGTGAGCTCGGCCGAGCGTTTGAATTTCATCCATTCATTCATTTTCTTTATCTGCTCCATTGGGTGAAGTGTTGGGTACACCCTGGACATGTCCCCAGTCCATCAGACAAATGAGACGTCCTTTACAGTCAAGAGTTGCCAGTTAATCTAACATGCAAGTTTTTGGTCTGTGGGAGAAAACTGGAGTACTTCAAGAAATCTGCCTAAATATCCAATTTGCCGACATTAAAATACTTTCAGTAAAAATTTTAATTTAATACCGTATTTTTCACTGTATAAGTTGCGTTTTTTTGCATAATTTGCATGCCGTGAAGCGACGTATTAATAGATTTTTCCATATTTATTTATAAACCAACTTTTGGCTGAGATAAGACCGTTTTCATTCATTCTGACTGAAAATATTGAACACTACCATGTTCAGCCGCTAGATGGCACTTGAGTAGTAAGGCATGGTGTTGTATCATTCAATAGGTAAAAGTGACTATTAATGACACAATCGGCTTGCCATAGCCTGCCACTGTCGTCTGCCTGAAGCAACCGTCAAATCAGCTTCATTTCGCTGCGTCGCCTCCCGGTGAAATGCAGCTAAATTGACCATTAAAGTGCATTTATTAAGTAAAAGTTCAACTGAGATGCACCTTTACTATAAAGTCGAGCAAACAAATATTTGTTTTTAGGTGGTTATCTTGTTAAATTTAGAAAAAATGCGTAGCGAGTCATCCTCTGCGCGTTTGTGTTTCCGTGTATCGGCTTTTGAAACGCAGCTGATTTAACCATTAAAGTGCATTTATTAAGGAAAATTAGACTGAGACACACCTTTGCTATAATTTTGAGCAAACAAATAATTGTTTTTAAGTGTTAATCTTGTTAAATTCTTGTTAAAGTCCTCTCGTGCACGCTCCCTTTTGGCACACCAGCCCACATTTCCAGGTTGTCAATGGTGACGCATAATAGATGCGACATATTTATAGATTTTTCCACTTTATTAGACATATTTGGACTGATGCGACGTTTATGGCAGAAAATACGGTCTTATTTAACCTCTTGCACAATAAACTGGCTTCTTATCAAATATAGGCCATACAGGGCAGGTCTCAATAAAATGATGCCTTTAACAACCTGAGGGCCTCATGTCACCTGGAAATCATAAAAGCTGAAGCTGATTATTAACTCTCAGGTTCGTAAACAATCTTTAAAGGGATCCAGAAGCAGGTTTTTTTTTGTCAGGTGTGCTGACATGGACAACGAATGACGTTGAGTTTAATCAACTTGAATCCACCTCTGTGTTGTCACGTAGCTGCCTGATTTAGCTAAATGTTAGTGAGACCTCGTTTGTTTGGCTCCGGAGCCGGGCTTTGGACATCCCTGAGCAGAACTCTGATCTGGAACCCAACGTTGGCTCAGTTTCTCCTGTTCTCTGCCACAGCAGGATGTTTACACTCGAGTTATTAAACCATTTGGTTTCAGTGTTTGCACTGGCGTCAGTCCTCTCTGATAACACGTTTATTTACCTGCGGCCCAGGTGGACTGCACGCAGCACTACGAGGTCTGCTCTGAGAACGGCGTGAGGGGATATCCCACACTTGTCTTCTTCCATAACGGACACAAGGTACAGGGTTTCAAATAAACCCCTGTTAAATTCAACATGTCTCCTCATTTAAAAAATGTTTTTGGCTCTTCTGCAGAAAGAGCAGTACAAAGGAAAGAGAGATCTGGACTCCTTCAAGGAGTTTGTGGACAACCAGCTGAAGGTTGCGCTGACAGAGGAGCACGAGCACGAAGCAGCCGAAGAACAAAAAGCAAACGAGATCCCGACGGATGAGCCAGCCCAAGAGGAAGTAAAGGTCTGTGCACAAACGGGCGCGTACCTTCCAAACAAAAACTTTTGTTGCCTCGGGACAAGAAATGAGTACCTGAACAACCCACAGAGAGACGGCATCCAACGTGGTGTGGCCATTAAAAATATATATTTTATTGTTTTATCACACAGAGCAGATTTTTCAGAGTTATTTGTTCACTAGTCTTTAAAAACTGGATGAAGCTTTAAAAAATGAAGTCCCCATCTCTAAAAACTTTACAATTTTTTAAAAAATAAACCAGAGCATTTTCCATCCTAATTCAACATTTAAAATGTTTTTTATTCTTTAAAAATCAGCCGTTTCTTCTTCTTTAAGCTGTGAGTTCACTGTTCGAGGCGATGCCGTCTTCGGTTTGTGTTACGGACTCGAGCTTTTCTAACTCTGGCACCGAACGGGTAATGACACCAGCATCCCTTGGAGAATTTCATTAAAGCTTTAAATGAAGATCTCAAGCGATCGGAGTGTGTGTTGGGGAGGACCCTCAGCTACTACCACACCAGATTATAGGTTACAATTGACAGAGTTGAAGCCATTTTTGTTTACCAAGTTAAATAGTTTCATTGTTGTTTTACGTTTGCGTGAAGTAGAAATATCTGACACCACTTTATTTAAAATAAAAATCTTTATGGGCCAAACAGAGGAATTGGAAATTTAAAGTCTAGAATTGTTAAATGAAACAATCTGGTTGTTTTAGTCAAGATTATGCAAAAACATATTTTCCACGACTGTATTTAAAATTCATATTAAGGGCCACCCTGTCATATTTTAATTATTCCAGTTTTCAGCCTCCAGCGCAGAAACGACGCAGTCATCACGAAAAGTGAAGTTTGATGCATAAAGTTTTTGACGTTTCTTTCCTTTTCCTGCAGTCCAGCGTGTTGGTCCTGACTGAGAGCAACTTTGACGAAACGGTCGCTAAAGGCTTCACCTTCATCAAATTCTACGCTCCGTGGTACGAGTCAAACACCGGTCAATCTACTGTCGCGTCAAAAACTAGTTATCCCTGATTTAAAGGTTTTTACTGATCTTGTACAATTCTTTTAAAACTAGAAGTTTATTTTGACAGATGCTGTTAAAGTATAAACAAACATTAGTCATTACATTAATAAATTGTAATAAATCCACGAGGGACGACAGATTTGATAGAAAAATTACAGTTCAGTGATTCAGGAAACGACTGATGAGGCGACGGATTCAACTCCGTGTTCTCCCGCTGCAGGTGCGGCCACTGCAAGAACCTGGCGCCGACCTGGGAGGACCTTTCCCAGAAGGACTTTCCTGGTCTCACCGATGTGAAGATCGCCAAAGTGGACTGCACGGTGGAGCGCACGCTCTGCAACAAGTACTCTGTAAGTAATGGTGCTGTTGATTTCGCCTGATGAAGTGGGTTATACTGCTCATCGTCAGCTGTGACGGGTTTTATTTCTCCGTCGTTAAAAAAAACAACGCAGCTGCTTTAATTGGATGCAACAGACTGAGAAGCTGCAGCAGCTTGGATTGTGTAACGTGATGAAAGCATCCGCTAATCCTCCGAGGGTTTTAGTGGTAACGTAAAGTCGGACTCACACACACGTTCTGTACTGACCCAAATGATGTCTGTCGTTTTAACTTGACATTGTAAACTTTAAGGTCGTTTGGTTTAGGAGGAAATTAGACGGCGATGAGGGCAGAACTGAAATCTGTTTGGAAAAACAAGTTGTAAGTTTTGTCGGTGCTTAACTGATTCAATTAAAGACACGAGATCAAAGTTCATGATCAATAATCCAGGTAAAAAAAAAATCCAACAAAGTTCAGTCAGGTCCTCTGGATGGGTTATTTTTTTGTTGAGACATTTGTCCTTCATCCAAAGGACTTCATCAGTCTGAGGAGCCGCAACAGAGTCCCACAAGCAGGACACTCACATAGTGGACCAACCAGTTTGATGGTGATAAGATGGTTCCTGGGGCCCGCCCTCTCCCCCGTCGACTCCTCTGAGGCAGCCGTAGCCAAAGTGGTTCAAAACAATAAAGTTCATGCTCAATAATCCAGATAAAAATAAAAGATGAAGTCCTTTGGATGAAAGACGAAACGTCTCAACGAAACAAAGAAGTCGTCCAGATGACCTCACTGAACTTTGTTGGAAAGACGTGACCTGGTGTTCATGAACTCTTCATAAAAACAAGACAGAAGTGAGTTTACTAAAGATTCTATGGTTGTAAATTAAACTGGAACACTTGTTGCTGGGTTGTTGTAAATATTTCTTATTTATCCACCACATAAAACGTTTTTAAACATAACAGCTGCATCATAAGACGTCGTTACCCGCTTCTTCCTTTTCGGGTCACTGGTGCCCATGCATCATAAAACATTAAAATATTTATATATATTCATTGGGCCCTTATTATAGTTGAAGTAGTTTTTATTTTTTATCCGGTAGTTTACATTTAAATTAATCTTATGGGAATTATTTATGGAAAAATACTGGAAGGTATCAAGTAGAAATGTTCAAACTTGGCAAATATTTACCAGTTACTGATCCAAATAATCATGGTCATGATTTGGTTTCTCATAACGGAGCAAGGCGAGCGTAACCGTAACCTTATTTTTTTGCTTGCTAGAATTTCCAGACTGTCCTTGAATGCATCACTTGCAGGCAGTAGTTATGAAACAATAAAAACCACTATCATCACAAACACCTGATCGGATTAATTTTTTATTTTCTGCTCAGCTTTGGTTGTTCACTACGACCTAAAGAGTAAACAAATGAAATGTATTCATGAAGTTTAGTGATTCAGAGACTTACTGATTCTTCAGCCCGTTTGCTTTATTGTTTATTGATCTGTCCTGTATTTGTCCCCAGGTGCGAGGTTACCCCACCCTGATTATTTTCCGGGCCGGAGAGCAGGGCGAGGAGCACCACGGCGGGCGGGACTTGGAGAGCCTGCACAGCTTCGTGATGAGGCAGGCGAGAGACGAACTGTAGACACTCCTCACTTCACCTGCTCCTCCGAGCAGTCAAGTCTGTATTTCTCTCTTCTGGAAGGAGTTCAAGCCAATGACGGACCCATGTGGTTTTTTCTGTATTTTTGTATTTTAAAGACGGAATAATTGTTTGGAATGTATCCCCCCCCACCCCAAACCTGAGGATTGTATGATCAGTGGTTGGGTCCGACGACCACTGCAAGCACTGCTCAACCAGAAACTCAAAAGTGGCGCTCGAGTTTATTTGTGTAAAACATAAAAGCTCTGATCCTGTAACTGACTCGGTGCTAAATGTTTGGGTCTGTTGGGTTTCCAGCAGCTGCGCCACTCTGTGACCTTTGATTTGGAGGTACTTCATGCTCATGCCGATGATGGCCTATCTGACAGAACTCTCAGGGAACATCCAGCCAGGTTCTAGGAAGTCCTGATGGAGGGATCGTGATCGCCACAGGAGCCCGATGACTCGTACACAGATGGACCAGGTTCTGATCATCTGGGTCGTATCTGGCTCGTGTGACGCTCACATCCGTCGTCTTTTTCTACGCAACGTTTTCAGTTCCAAGTCTGAACCAAGCTGCCCCAGTTTGTCACTTCTTTCTTTTCAGACGAGTCGTTCAGATTCATTTCGCTCATAATGGTTCTAAAACTGGCTGCTCGTGAACTAAAAAGGTGCAAAGGTTTCATTTGTCTGGTTTGTTCAGTGGGCGGCACGGTGGCTCAGTTGGTAGAGCTGTTGCCACTCAGTGAGAAGGTCCCCGGCTCATATCCTGGTCCGAGGCCTTTCTCGGTGGAGTTTGCATGTTCTCTCCGTGCATGCGTGGGTTTTCTCCGGGTACTTCAGGGTTTCCTCCCACAGACCAGAAACATGCATGTTAGGCTGATTGGTGACTCTAAATTGTCCCTAGGTGTGAATGAGACAGTGTTTGTCTCTGTGTCCCTGTGATGGACTGGAGACGGTGACCCCCCCCACCCAACCTGAAATGGAAGAAGCAGGTAAAAAGTGTTAGTTGGAGGTGTGAGGCAGTACTACGGGGCACGACGAGGCTCAGGTGCTCTCTGTTCATCGATGGCTGCACCATTAGGAAACCATTTCCCGCCATCGTTTTAACAACTAGCTAAAGCAGCTGCGTGTGATCGTTTTAACA